TCCGTTTTCTAAATTTCTTAATTGGTCATTTTACTTTTCTTATTGTAAAAAAATCATTTTGGCTTATGAAAAACATCTATTTTTATTATTTAGTTGGTATCCTCTTTTGAAGACTTGATACCAAATTAATTTTTGAATAGAAAATTTAGAATCAATTATCATTATAAGTATTTTCAATTATCATTATGTTTTCTACTAATTGAATTTTTTACTGAAGCAAATATATCCTATTAATTATGTTTAGTTGTAATGCTCTTTTGAAGACTCTGTACGGAACCAATTTTTTAATAGGAATGTAGAATCAATTATCATTATGTGCTATAATAATTGAACAATTTGCTCAAGCAAATATATCATATGAATCCTATATCGATATAAATAATTTGAGAAAATTATATTTAATTATCGTACATCATGTCGATGTTGTATAATTTTCTATGTTAAATATCCTTACAATTTTATAATATTATATTTTAGATGTTCCATATTAATTAAATTTAGGGTTAATACCTTATTATGGCCTGAACTATGACCATGTAATCAACTTTGGCCAATGGTTTGAGAAATTAACATCCTGGACCGAACTATGCAGCATACAGACAGAATTGGCCTGGAGCGTGGTTTGACCGTTTGTTTGGACGGTCAACACCGTTGACCGTTAGTCAACTGTCCAGGTCACTGCCATGTCAGCACAAAAAATTATAATTTCATTTTTCTTTTAATTTTCTTTACAAAATGGAATAATAAAGAAAAAAATAAAACAATAACTTTTGACCACCCATCCCCACCTTATCCCCTCACCTTCTTTCTCTTTCGATCAAACCCAAAAAATCTTTTCTTCCATCTTCTTCCCCGATAACCCACTGCCTCCATATCCCAGATAACCCACCGTCCAGGTCGCTGTCCAGGTCACAGCTTCCACCTTAGTTAACTCTCTCTCTCTACAGCTCCTCCACATGGCTCGTCCATTCAGGCTGCTCGATTCCGTGCCGGCAGCAGCAACAACAGCACCGGCCGGGGACTCCCAACCGCCCGCCCCGCCGGTGGACAGCGACTTTGTCATCATACCGGCGGCCCTCCTCTGCGCCTGATTTGCGTCCTCGGCCTCGTCGCCCGCGGCGAGGGGAGGCAGGGCTCCGCCGGCGGCCATTGACCCCTGTTGCCGTCATTGTGGCACTGAAGTGGTGGTGCCGGAGGAATTGTGTGGATTAATAAAAATCAGAGAGTAAAGTGCAGGGAGAACCCTCGCTCGATCAAATGTGTTTCCGAATTGATTTAGGGATGTGGTTGATAACTTGGGTCTTGATTGATCAAATGTGAAAGGGAAAGGCTTGAAGGGAAGATAACAGGGTTTTTATTTCTGTTTCCAGATTTGTACGCCAAGTCGCCAAGGAAATATATGGAATGGATTGGTTTCCAAGGGGGTGAAGAAGAAGATCCTTCGCGCCCTCCCCAATTAGACCTTCTCTCCCGCCGACGACGCCGCAGCAAAATTCACCAATTGCGCCATCTGCTTCGTGGAATTCACGGCCAGGGACGAGTTCCGGGTGCTCCCGCAGTGCGGCCACGGCTTCCAACTGCATCGACACCTGGCTCGGCAGCCATTCATCCTGCCCTTTCTGCCGGCAGATACTCATCATCAACCGGTGTCATAAGTGCGGCGGCGGGTTATTGGGGAAGAAGATGGAAGATAGGGTTTTTTAGGGTTTGATCGAAAATGGGGGATAAGGTGGGGATGGGTGGTCAAAAGTTATTGTTTTATTTTTTTCTTTATTATTCCATTTTGTAAAGAAAATTAAAAGAAAAATGAAATTATAATTTTTTGTGCTGACATGGCAGTGACCTGGACAGTTGACTAACGGTCAACGGTGTTGACCGTCCAAACAAACGGTCAAACCACGCTCCAGGCCAATTTTGTCTGTATGCTGCATAGTTCGGGCCAGGATGTTAATTTCTCAAACCACTGGCCAAAGTTGATTACATGGTCATAGTTCAGACCATAATAAGGTATTAACCCTTAAATTTACTACTAATTCTCTTCCTATAGTCGTATTTTCTTTTCTAGATTTGTTACGGAATATTGTAGCTTTATAGTTTATTTATTATTTGGATACTTTTCATTCTAAATTTTCTTCAATTACTGGAATTAATTCTTTATGACTGTGTTCCATTTATCCTTCTTTGGTCTTGATGTATTGATGATCGATTAGGTTCATTTTAACTATTTTTAATGTTACTTCTAATTGGATTAGGGGTTTAAATAGATATTCTAATACTGATTTTAAATATTTATTATTATATGCAATATATTTATTATTCTTCTTGATATTTATTTATTATTTTTACTAATTTATCTATTTTATTGACTATTTTGATTAGCCATTTTAGTAATATTATGTTTAGAATGTTTTTTAATTTATATATTAGATAAAAACTTGTTTAAATATAGTTTTGGATATTTTTAAAAGTTTTGGGTACCCAAAAGTAATTATAATTTTGGTTGGATGGAAAACTGGACGGATGCACATTTTGACGACTTTAATGGTACCCGACGCCCTATTCAAACTTAAATGGTATGTTTACCCCAATTCTCAAACTTAAGTGATACTCGAAGTATTTTACCCACCAATCTATCAATGCCCAAGTTTTTATGGAACACTCATTAGCGGTCTCTCACAAACAACAATAATTTAAATTTCAATAGATATATAAGTTCATAAAAAAAAACCCTAAGCAATTACCATAAACGGATTCATCAAATCTAGCTTCAAATAAAGTTCAAACATTTAAGGAAAAAACACCAGGCATATAAAATATTGTACTTAAACTAAACGAAATACTCACACTAATAATAGCTCATCTATTTATCTTACTGGCACTTTCAAAGACAAATTTTTATCATGTCGTTTCATTAACGGGAGCACTACCAATTCAATGATTCCACCAAGCGATGAATTGATTAATCTGTCAAGCATTATCGCATTTCTTGCTTATGGGAACATATTTTTAGGGCATAATTCAAAAGTTTTCGTTCCGTTATGGGAAAGACAGTAAACGATATTAGTGTAGACCCCTAAAAAGAACTTTCAAATAAGCTCCATATTGGTCGGCAACCACTCCAATCTAGACTCCTTCTCACTAAAAATGGTCGTTGCCAAAGTTGGAGATATAATGAAACTCTCAAACTCACACAATTCTCGATGAAAATAGCCAATCACACCAAACTAATCATCGGGCTTAATAGTCATTACAAACTTCAAGGGATTGACCAATTGGTAATATGCAAAGCTAAAATTTACCACTTACTTTGTTCTAACTATATCGTAAAAAATCAATCTAAATGTAATAATTGAAAAGATATAAATTATCAAATATTAATTCATTAGTAACAAATATATATCTAGAAACAAATCTGTCTTGATAATAGATTACATAGGCATATGAAAATGGTTGAGAGCTATTATAATGACCAAATCTTAATTTTTTAAGTATTTCTTTAAACTTTAATTAAATAAAATACTTCATTCTACAAACATATAATTACTGTTGTTAAAATATAATTTTATAAAAAAGATTCATGATTTCATGAAAAATAGTCATGAGTATTGAAAATATATATAGTCATTCGGATCATCGGTGTTGTAATTGGTGGCAATGGGTATGATTGCCTAATACTATATGTAAATATTTTAATAAAAATGAATTTTTTTAAATCCACAACTATAAACATTTGCATGAATAAGTGTATCTTCATTCATAAAACCAAGTTAAAAGACACTCAATCAATGAACTCAGTACTCAACTTTGAATACCAGATGAAATCTTATATTTCAATCTACTTCAACTAATGGGACAAATAATGAGCATACTTCTAAACAATACAGAAAAGATTTCAAACATCACGATATTATAAATGTACTAATTATTGTAAATGATAAAGCCAAAATTCATTCAACCTGCAGAGTGAGTATAAAGTTTGTTCTATCTTAATTTTTTTATTATTTATATGAATATCAAAATGTATAATGAGGTTTATCTTACCTGGGCCTACAAATTTATCTTGCCCGATGCTCACATACACTCATCACCAAACATTATCTAGAGTTTAATCAAAGAAATAACAATAAATATAATATAGTCTAGTTGGTTATAATGCTCTGTCTTCATTTAAGTGACTAAAGTTCAAATTCCAATGATGATATTTTTAATATATAAAGATGAATTGGGTCAAATGACAAAAATAACATTCATAGAATTACTCTCGGGTCACGAAATATGAAATGAGACAATTTCAATTTCCAACCCATGAATCTGCGTTAAATATATTGATAGATAGATAGATAGATAGATAGATGTGTAGAGATTTTCCCACCTCAGTTGTTAATTCATCATAGGGTTTGATAGACCGGTTCGGTAATGTATACCAATAAATGATCAAATTACTAATTTGCTTTTGCTCCTCTTTGTCCTTATCCAAACCAATTAATGGTTGACATTTATTAGAGATGGATGACTGGTTTTATATACTTGGGTTTGTACCGTATCCTTTGTAAGAGAGCTTAGTAGGAGTTTCAAGTTTGGATCAAACAGGGAATTTGCTGTCCAAGACTGGATATTCCATCTTCGAAACCGGGCCTAGCCGCCAGATTTTATGTTTCGGCGGGTTCAATAGACCCGTGCGAGCGATGATGCGCAAGCCTGCGGGAATCCCTTGGAACTTCAGTCTTCACGCAACTTCTCATTTGGTCGCACACACCTCTCACCCACTCTTCTCCTTCCACGTGTCATCAATCTACGCCCCCCTTCCGGAGGAAGACTCTTCCACCTCCACCTTCTTTCCCCGTGCACCGTCTCACAGGTCACAGGCTCACAGCCCAACCATCTCAGGCCTCGGAATAATAATAATAAATTAATAATAATAAACTCTCAGTTGTAACAAACCGTCTCCATATTTAAACTTCAAACTTTAAACTCCCAGCCTGCACTGCTTTTGTTTCTTTATTTCTTTCTTTACTGTGATTTAATAATAAATTAATTACTGCATTTTTCTTTGTTTTGTCCCTTTTTCATATTCCTCTTCCCGCAACCATCCGGAGGAAGAGGAATTCCTTTCCCCTTCCCTTCCCCGCCTCTCCGTCGGTCTTCCCTGCCATCCAAATATCTCCGGCGGAAATCTATTCCCTCTTTCCCCTCTTCTGTAACCGTTTCCTTATCTGCCGTTTCGGCGGATATCGAATCGTTTCCCTTCCCTCTCTCTCTCTCTGCGCCGTGATATAAGTGGACTCTCTCTTACTACCATGACTCGTTTTTCATTTGCCTTCTCCGCTTCCGTCGTCCCAACCGCCGCCGCCGTTTTCTGCGTCCACTCGATTGCTTCTCTCTGAAGATTTTTCTCTCTCTCTCTCTCTCTCTCTCTTTCCCGCCATTAATGCATCCTTTCTGCTGTATCTCTACTGTATCAGACAACTCCCCCACCGCAAAGCCCCTGCCCGATCTTCCGATGGCCATCACTGCCAGATCCGACCCGACGCCCCGATCGTCCGCCGCTACTCCGAATCACATCCATTTGGCAGATCATCAGCATCATCTTCACCACCATGCCACCGCCTCCATAGATTCGGTCATCAGCAACGGCGGCAGAAACAGCCACCGGATTTCTACTGTCGCGAATTCGGCGTCCGGGAGGGAGCAGCCGGTGGATGTCAAGATCAACGATATAGTAGGGAATGGAATCTCCGGGATTCTGTACAAGTGGGTGAACTACGGCAAAGGTTGGAGGCCGCGGTGGTTCGTTTTGCAGGACGGTGTGTTGTCCTATTACAAGATTCACGGGCCTGATAAGATCGTCGTCAATCTGGAGACCGAGAAAGGATGCAAAGTCATCGGGGAAGAGTCCATCAGGAGGGTTTCCAAGGCCGAAAATGGAACTCCCAACCAGCAGAGGCGGAATCCTGTTGGCGAAGTTCATCTCAAGGTATTGCTTCGGTGCTCTATCTCTCTCTCTGTGGTAGTGATTTGATTGCTTATCTAGAACTTAAATATGTGTACTCAACTCAGGTGTCCACGATCCGAGAGAGTAGATCGGATGACAAAAGGTTCTCGATATTCACGGGGACTAAGCGGCTCCATCTAAGAGCTGAGACGACGGAGGATCGTTTGGCATGGATGGAGGCATTGCAGGCGGTCAAAGACATGTTCCCTCGGATATCTAACAGTGAATTAATGGCTCCCGTGGATACCGTGGCTGTGTCAACGGAAAAGCTGAGGCAGAGGCTTGAAGAAGAGGGTGTTGGGGAAGAGGTGATTCTGGAGAGTGAGCAGATCATGAGGAGTGAGTTCACAGCTTTGCAGAACCAGATGCTGCTGTTGAAGCAGAAACATTGGCAACTCATTGAAGCGTTGCGGCAGTTAGAGGTAACACGCAATGAATGAGAAATAGGATTGAGCATGGCAATGGAATTCAGAACTCTTTACCTCTGATCATGCTTCTGCATTTCCTTCTTAGCCTATAATTGAACCAAGAAATGCGTGAACTCCTTGCCTTCCTTCTTAGTCTATAAGATGGTGTTAGTAACATTTTGACAAAAGTGCTGAGAAGTAAACTTTCTGTACATGGTTTGTAATCTGTGGCCGATTCTTTCACAGTACTTAAACTTGTAAGGCTACACTGGTCACCATCCTTACTGCTTGGACTGGTGGGTTTTATGTTCCTGGTGATTGCTGTAGAGTTAGTCTACTTGGGGTTGGCAGCTCAGCCAATTAGGATTTGGAGAGATGTAAATAATCTGAGTCATGATATCCACAGAGGGCGTAACTTTTTGTGTATTCTGTATATTCAGGAATCAGGATTGCTAAATGGAAGTGATTATTATTTCGGCTTGATGCTTGAGGAACTATGATATGGAGACTAGTCCCAAATTTAGGTGGCCTATATACATAACTTAGATTATATGGGATACAAATTTTACTGTATGGGGTACCTGAGAGCTGTAGTTATGATCACAAGCTTCCTTCCATTGATGTAACCATGGATTCTCTGTTGCAGACAATTCTTCGTTCTTTTCCTACAAATGGACTACCTACAAAAGTAAATCTGAGCACATTCTCCTTGCTAACCATTCGTCTTAAAGTGCTCATTCTGTAGTACTAATGAGACTAGGAATTATGCTTTGCTGTTGCGCTATTGAAATATCCTATCTTTCATGCCGCCTGTTCTCATGAGGAACCACATTTGATATATTATTTTGTAGACCGAAAAAGTTGATCTGGAGAATACAGTTATTGACGAGAGCCAAAGACAGAATGATCAAATGACATCCTCTATGGCAACTCAAGACAAGTTTAGCGGTATGCATATTTTTTCTGCCGAACTACATCACTCTTGCTATATGTACTTTAAGCGTATTATTCCTATCAATCGTCTGTAAAACTTCAAATTTGAGTTTCAGAAGGTACATGTAGTCATGAATTCTTATCTTCAGCCCTAGAAGATTGCAATTTCATTTGAATAATTATCCTAAACATGAGATTTTTATGCAAAATGATCAATTATCTAGGTTTTCTCGTGCATCAAGCATTCCTATCATCATTGATGTTGTTTTGGTATCCATTTGTCTTCTCTCTTGCTAGTTCCTCAGGAAAGGTTAATTAAGAAATTAAATGCTTTTGCCTTTAATATTTGAGTCTGTTTACATTGCTTATGTTTGATTGTTCATATGTGCCCCTTTCTTCTTTTTCTGTTTGTGTTGCAACTGTGATGTACCCAAACTATATATATTTATCGCCTTGTCCTAAAGAATATGTAATGTGGTTTCGCTACTTCACATTTCTGATTTTCTTCCTCAGAGGCCAGTGCAAGTGGATCTGATGATGATAATGAAAGAGTAGATGCTGCTGAGGAGGAAACTGATGATGAGGAGAATACCTTTTTCGATACCCGTGACTTCCTCTCATCAGGTTCTTTCAAAAGCAATGGATCTGATTACCGGACTTCTTCATTTTCTTCAGAAGATGAAGGACTACGCGCTCTTGAGGCAGATGAAGGGCTTAGTTATCCTTATATTAAGCGCCGCAAAAAGTTACCAGATCCAATTGAAAAGGAAAAAGGTGTCAGTCTTTGGTCAATGATTAAGGATAACATTGGGAAGGATCTCACAAAAGTATGCCTACCTGTTTACTTCAACGAGCCTCTCTCTTCTCTTCAAAAGTGTTTTGAAGATTTAGAGTACTCGAATCTCATTGACAGAGCTAGTGAATGGGGAAGAAAGGTCAGTTTTAGTTTATCTTTTCTTAGTATAACATTTTCCTTCTTAGGATGTCCTCGTATAGGAACCATAAGGACTTGATCTTTCTGTTTAGTGATGGATTGTTTCTTTTCACCTACCATGATAGCATTTAACATGATGCTACTATACTACTATTAAGGTAGTTATGCAATTTAAAGCATGTGACTATAGCTGTTATCGGATATTCTCATTTACATCTAGAACATCCAGTTCATTTCACCAACTCCAATTGTCCTGCATTTCTGAACTGTCAATTTTCACTAGTTCAAAGGGATACTGGAAACTTCTTATAATTTCACCTCATGTCATGTGGTTATTTCTCAGCTTAGTTTAAGTCTGTACCTAGCATTCATCATTCCTTTTCGCTTTTTTCCTTCTATACATAATATTGGTGTTGCTTGTTGGGTGAGTATTGATATGTTAGGCTCCTTCAGTGAGGAAATATGCATCTCATGGGTCATTTCCTTGCCAGGGTAACAGTCTGATGAGGATTCTTAATGTAGCTGCCTTCGCTGTTTCTGGATATGCTTCAACAGAAGGAAGAATCTGCAAACCGTTTAATCCACTATTAGGTGAAACATACGAGGCAGATTATCCTGATAAAGGACTCCGTTTTTTCTCGGAGAAGGTGAAACTCATTCATTGTTTCATATTTCTATTTAGCAGCAATCTCAGTTCAGAGTTTCTGTTTGTTTCATCGAACAACCAGAATGTGGATGGTTTTCTTTTCATTCTCTGTCTTGCGATCTTTTGACATTTTAGTAGAAGCATTTAAAGAGCAGTGTAGTCCACGTTCAACACTTCTTTTGATTTCCTGGTTTAATTTGGTGTTATAAGATTGAGGAAAAGACTAACAAAATGTACAGTAAGGGAGTTCTTTGCAACATTCAGATTGAACTCTAAGGGTCACAAGGCATAATCTTTTTCCTCTCTTCCTCTTGGACAATGACATATTTCTCACCTTTTAAGTCTTCGATAGTAGGTACATTGTTCATCTGTTTGATGAAGAGCAATGCCAGTATCAGTTGTCTGTTACTTTTTCTCCAGGTCAGTCACCATCCAATGATTGTAGCATGTCACTGTGAAGGGACAGGATGGAAGTTTTGGGGAGACAGCAATTTGAAAAGCAAATTTTGGGGTCGCTCTATACAACTTGATCCTGAGGGTCTTTTGACATTGGAATTTGATGACGGAGAAGTTTTCCAATGGTCCAAGGTAAGTCAAGAACACTAATAAAATATATCCTGTTGGAATTCGATAGACAACTATACTTGTTTGTAAGTTGTGAATTGGATGTCTCAACTCTCACGTTCGGTTGCAGGTTACAACATCAATATACAATCTAATACTAGGGAAGCTATATTGTGATCATTATGGTACAATGCGTATAGAAGGAAACAGAGATTTTTCGTGTAAGCTGAAGTTTAAGGAGCAATCCATCATAGACAGGAACCCTCACCAGGTATGAACTTCGATACTTGTAAAACACACAAATCAAGTGAGAACTGGCTATAAATCAGTTAAACTTTCTTTGGGTTCACAAGTATTAGAAACTTGGACGTGCCCTCAGTTTTAACTTGGATAGACTGGGTTCCTTTTCGTTTTGCATATTAAAAGAAAAAATAGACACCAAAATGTTGGACAATTGATTTTACATATGTTATTTATTGCTTTTTCCCGACAGATACAAGGAGTAGTAGTGGATAGGAGTGGGAAAACTGTAGCAACTCTGTTTGGGAAATGGGATGAGAGCATGCATTATGTTCTTGGTAGTGGCAAGGGCAAAGGGTTTGAGTCACTGGAAGAAGCTCATACACTGTGGAGAAGAAACAGCCCACCAACGATCCCTACTAGATATAACTTGACCCGCTTCGCCATAACACTGAATGAGCTCATTCCGGGGCTCAAGGTGATATCTCATGACTCTGCTCCATTATACAATTTCTGCTGGTCTCCACTTCCTGACAAATCGAAGGTGGCGGGGGGTCGTCTGACGGGGTACTTTTTTCCCTTCCCCTTTTTCTTCATTATTATGTGCAGGAGAAGCTGCCACCTACAGATTCAAGGCTAAGGCCTGATCAAAGGTATTTGGAAAATGGGGAATTTGAGATGGCGAATTCTGAGAAGTTGAGGCTGGAACAGCGCCAGCGTCAGGTAAAGATAAAACTGCAATGTGAATCTCTCATTGAATCAGAAGCTGGGAAGGGGAACCCTGTGATGGTTTATCCTACTCGTGTAACGTGATTGTAAATGTATACAGAAGATCGATTGATATGATAATGGATGTTGTTTAATGTGTCTATGATGTGCAATTTAATTTTGTCAGTAAACATAGTATGCCAATGTCGTGTGCCTGGTTTGGTTGTGCTAATCAACATCTCGGGTTTTGCAGGCACGGAAGATGCAGGAGAGGGGTTGGAAGCCACGTTGGTTTGCCAAGGAAGACGGAAGCGATACATATCGCTACATTGGTGGATACTGGGAGGCTAGAGAGAAAGGGAAGTGGGACTCATGTCCAGATATTTTCGGTCAAGTCCCCGCTGATCAGCTTCTCATTGACTAGTTACTTATCTGAATTCCTTTCCATTGCTTGGGAATGGCCTACGGGTCGTCGGTATATGAAGGGGGGAGTCACTCGACGTGCGATGTAAGTAAAGATAACTATTGCCCTAGGTAAATAGAAAGGAAAAAATCAGTTCTTTTTCCCCTCCAGTTCCGCCAAATGCGCCCCCGTTCCTCATCTCATGGTTAGAGCTGGAGGGATGGCAGGGGAAATATATTACATTTTTTGTGTGGATGTTTTAGCTTCTTTTTCCAGGAAAAGATACAAGAGGAATAGATGATAGGAAAAGCAACAAATGAATCGACCGCATTTGATATGTTTGTTCTTAAATGAGAAAAGAAAGGAAGAAAGCAGTTTGTTATTATTATAATGTTTGTTTGATGGAAAGAGATAGCTAGCTGCTGTTTACAGATCAGCAGTGTGAGTGTTCTTCTACGGATTCAATCACATGGCAGAAGTCTGTTATTTCCTGTTGATGATAGGAATGTTTAGGCAAGAGCTTTACGCCGATCGAAAAACACAGGTTGCCATTAGGGCATTCCAATTTGTCCCTCCCGCCCCTCGCACGTTTAAACTGTTCGAGTTTGGGATTTGATAGAAATGCTCACACGAGACGAGAGCACGATCGACCTGGCCTTTTGCATTGATCACGTTTGGGTTTTGATTATCTTGCATAGGGTACACCCAGATGTACATGGGCGCTGGGCCGTGCTTGGGCCGGCACGGCACGGGCACGCTTCGGGCCCATTTATTTCGTGCCGTGCTTGGCACGGCCCGTCAGTTTTCGTGCCGTGCCATGCAAGCCCATTTGTCAACTTTGCTAGGCCCGGCCCAGGTCCGAGCACAGTTCGAATCGTGCCGTGCCTATTCGTACTCGTGCCATGCTCGTATTCGTGTTCAATGAAAAGGACGAAAACAAAAGAGAGAATGAAAAAGAAGGTGAAAATTGGACGGGGAAGATAGTATTAACCGATAATGTTTGAGAAAAGTAACAAATAGGGGGGAAAAGAAAATTAAAAGTATAGCGAGTGTGATTTGGCTTTGTCTAATTCTTTGTCCATTTTTACTTATGTTAGTAATTACGTATATATCTGTATGACACTTCTAACAACAACAAATAATTATTTTTCTACTTGTGTTTTGTAATATTTGAACCTATAATTCTTTTTATACTTATTTTCTATCAAATAAATATTATTTTCGTGCCATGTCCGTTCTTATACTCAATAAAGTCTCGAAAATATTAGGCCCGACACGGCCCACTTATATACCGTGCCGTGCCCGTACTCGTGCCCGTGCCATGAAGTTTAGGCCCGGCACGTCCCATAAATTATTCGTGCTCGTGCCGGGCTGGCCCATTTATTTCGTGCTCGTGCCGTGCTCTAACCGTGCCGTGCCGTGCTAGCCCGTGGGCGGAACGGCCCGGTGCCCACGTACATACCCAGATTAGGGATAATAATCAAACTCATGATCGTGGGTATCCGACCGCCTTTGACCTAGTCAACGCGGGGAATGAGTTAGGTCAATATTAGTGATGGCAATAATGGACATGAATTTGCACAAAACCATTGAAGATTTACTTTATTTGAAGGATTTAGAGTTTAGAGATTTAGGGTTAGGGTTTATAATTTAGGGTTTAGGGCTAGAACTCAAAATTGGAGGTCTAGGGCTTAGGATAATCCGCTAATTAGTTGTTATCATATGTTATATAATCATATTGCACTAATTCTACAAATTAAAATTCAAAATTCGACACCTTAAAACTAATTTTTGAGTTGGTTGCATTGAACGCACTCATTTTTATGAGTGCACCGAAGTAGTCACTATATATATATATATATATATATATATATATATATATATATATATATAGTGCCTTCTACGGTACCCCAGGTGAAATCCGGGGTACCGCATACCTTGAGTATGAAAACGCTATCTAGACCTCGAATTAGCATGATTTTTGGGCATGAATATATATATATATATATATATATATATATATATATATATATATATATATATGGTGGCGTATTCGGTGCACCCACTTTTTTGGGTGCACTCAGTGCACCCGCCTCATAATTGTCATTCTGACCATGCGATTCATGTCAAAACGGTATCAATTGTTGCTTATGATATTATGAACAAGAAGCACATGAATTTGAAAAAAATTCATTCAAAATTTACTTTAATTTGAAGGATTTAGGATTTAGGGATTGAGGGTTAGGGTTTAGGTTTACAATTTGGGATTTTGGGTTGGGATTCAAAATTGAAGGTTAAGGGGTTAGGGTAATGGATTGATTTGTTATGATTCTATGTCATATCATCATATTATATTGAGAGTACCAATTAAAGTTCAAAATCTGATGTATTATGGACGCTTTTAGAGTTGGGTGCACTGAGTGCACCCAAAAAAGTGAGTGCACCGAAGTAGCCACCATATATATATATATATATATATATATATATATATATATATATGGCGAGTTCTACGGTACCGTGGGTGAAATCCGGGGTACCGCATACCTTGAGTATGAAAACACTATCTAAACCTTGAATTGGCCGATCTTTTGGACATGATACTATACTCTAACCTTTAAAGATCAAAATCTAGGTCTTAATTCTCCCAATCTTATACTCCAAGATCAATATAATTAGAAACAATAATCGACGGTTACGATTCATCCAAATATAGGCACAAAAAGGAATGCACTATCTTAGAGTTTATATATTATGATTTAGATAATTAGGACATAGGGTTCACTCATTAAGGGTTAGGGTATAGTATTAGACCCAAAATTCCTGCTAATTCGATGTCTAGATAACGTTTTCATACTCAAGGTATGCGGTACCCCAGATTTCACCCGGGGTACCGTAGAAGCCACCATATATATATATATATATATATATATATATATATATATATATATATATATATATATATATACACACGCCCCCATTGAGTTTTGCTATATAGATCATGAATTAATCGGAGTTTGTGGCATGATACTATACCCTAACCTCTAATGGGTGAACCCCAGTCCCTAATTTTCTACCCAAACCATGAGGTTCGTTTAATCTTAAAATGAAAACCAATGAAAATTTTGACGAATCAGAATCGTTGATTTTCATTTTTAAGATTGAACGAATCTCGTGCTTTGGGTTAGTGAATTGGGGACTGGGATTCACCCATTAGGGGTTAGGGTATAGTATCATGTCCCAAACTCCGATTAATTCTTTGTCTAAATAGCAAAACTCAATGGGGCGTACGGTAGGCTAGCGTACGCCCGGACGTATATATATTGTGAGAAATTGATTTAGAATGGGCTAGAGAGTCATGGGGTGGGACGCACGCCCTATGCTATTGGGTGTCGGGTAATACTAGGGCTGTCAGTTCGGTTGCCGGTTAGCGGCTAACCGGCTGGTCTAACCGATAACCGCCGGTTAGCGGCTAACCGGAAACCGAAAAAAATGGGTGGCGGTCGGTTGTCGGATGAGTTCAGTGGTTAGGCGGTTAGCCGAAAAACCGAGGCCGGTTAACCGGCTAACCGACGCTAACCGACCGACACTAAACGACCCCGTTTTGGCCTAAATAAAACCACCCACTGACCCACCTCTCCCTAAACCCTAGCAGTTGTGAGCAGCCTCATCCTCTGATCCTCCCCCATCCTCCCTCCTTCTCCCCCATCCTTCCTCCTCTGACCTCTCGTTCCTCCATCTTCCCTCCTCCTCCCCCATCCTCCCTCCGACGACGACTCCGGCCGCCCTCCCCTGCCTCCTCTGCTACCCCTCCTTCCACCGCCACCACAACTAGCCACCCTGCCTCCGTCGCCGCCCTCCCCTGCCTCCGTCGCCGCGCGCCTCGCCGCGCCGCCGCGCGCGTCTCCTCGCGCCGCCCGCCTCGCCGCGCCGCCGCGCGCGTCTCCTCGCGCCGCCCGCCTCGCCGCGCCGCCGCGCGCGTCTCCTCGCGCCGCCCGCCTCGCCGCGCGCCGCCCGCCTCGCCGGCCGGTGGATTTTGAGAGATGGGAACAGAGAGATATATGTGTGTGGGGGGAAGACGAAGGGAGGAGAGGAACACTTTCGCTCTCAAATGGGGAAAATCCCCTCTGCAATTTTTTTTGGATCTTGATCTTGCACCCTTCTCTCTCTGTCTGTCTCTCCCTTTCTTCCCCTCTCTCTTTTCTTTTTTTAGCTTATGAATCTCTCTACCGAGAGATGGTGCATGTGGATGTGTGATATGGATAAGAAAGGAGTGGTTGAGTTTTTTTCGTTTTATTTATTATTATTTTTTTTATTTTTTTCGGTTGGCCGGCTAACCGAGCCTAAACCGTAACCGGCCGGTCGGTTGGCCGGCTAACCGTGATCTCTCTTCGGTCGGTAGTCGGCAGCTATAAGGGGTGTCTCGGTTTATCCGAAAACCGAGTTTTCGGTTTTCGGTTAAACCGAAACCGACCGGTTGCCAGCCCTAGGTAATACCCATCCCATTGCAGGTAGGTGGGGTAATACCCGGCGGGACGGGTTCAAATTGTCATATCTAGTCAATATTCAAAAGGAAAAATTTACTTTATTTACAAATTCGATCTTTTTAATAGCTTAAGAATTTTGTGAGTTATATTGAATTATGATTAGCGATGACAATGGGGCGGGACAGGTACCTCAATACTCATATATCCCCCGCAGTAAGTGTGGGTCGGGTTGAATAATACACGCGCCAGTACGGGTCGACCCATTATATATGTTATTTGCAAGAAGAACATAAATATTTAACTCTTTTACAAGAATATGTAGAGAAAAACACTTCATAAATAAATGAAAAATATAGTAGAAGGAATAATTGAGTGTAAACAGTTGAAAGCCTTTAAAAAATATGATTTTAGAAAGATAAAAGAGGACAAATGCGAGTAGATACTAATGCAAATAATAATAGAACGGGTCAAAAACGTGACAGGATGGACGTGGCAAGTCGAAAACATTACCCATCCCCTAGTGCTACTACTAATCAGGTAGTACCCGACCCAAACAAGTCGGGATAAGGTCGAGTTGCACGGGTCAAATAAGAAATTGGCATCACTAATTATGATCATATAAATTTATGTGTTATTTTTGTTGTTGTTAATTATTAATTAAGTTATCTATCATTCAAATAAAGTTCACAAATGCTGTAAATTGCTATTTCATTCATTATAGTGCAAACTGGTATTTTTATTAGCAATATCTAGGCACACTAGAAGTTAGGAGAGGTCCTAATATTGGTATTACGTCTAGTGCCTTCTTGGACCTCAAATATGATATGCTGGTGTATCATTCTCTCTTCCTTTTTTCTCTCTGTGATTTTCCATTATCTGCAGGATGGGGGCCATCGTCGATGAGGCTTCCCATGGTGCAGTTGTTGCCGGCCTCCCCTGGGTTTCACTATTTGGAGTTACGAAGAATAATGGACTCTAATATGTTAAGTT